TGGCTTGCACTTTTGCAACCTTATGAAGTCAATAGGTTTGAGTCGAAACATGTGTGGCTTGCACTTTTGCGAAGATGTTATCAGTTGTTGTTTGAAAGTGAGAGAGGAAAGTATTTATTGAAGGATCAGCTGTAATCTTATAAAGATAAGTTTGAGATAATTGACAAAGTTGGTTCCGTGCCAATAACTTCATTGTTTATGTTATATAAAAAAAAATGCATTAAGTATTTCTAGTATAATATAATGTACTCTGGGTTTTGATTGATAATTTTATACAGGCACACCTACTGTTTTTACCTCCATTTACCATGAAATCTAAAATAATCTGGATGATTTGTAGTTATGTTATCACCCCATATAATGAGTATCCTCAATTGCTTGGGCTGCTTCTTAAATTGCTTAATGGCGAGTTGGCATGGTCTACCAGACGTGAAGTTTTTGAAGGTATCTAATTCAGCTGACTTCTCAAAGTTTTATTCGACACGTATTATACCTAACCAGTTATTTGTGTCCTTTTATGTTCTTGGCGTTATATCTTTTACATTCTGTATTTTATGTCCTTGGCATAATGGGTGCTTTAGATCCCCACGTGCATAAACGCAATCAACTGACATTACCAGGGTCCCATGGAGAAGTTGCTCGTGCAGCTTGTGATCCTAGTCAGCATACCAGGTCATCAATGGATGAAGTACCTGTGGATCTTTGGCCATCCTTCGCGACATCAGAAGACTACTACTACACTGTGAGATTTCAAATAAGAAATCAAAGTTATTATTAAGCACTCTGAGTGATTCTAATTAGATACTTTCTTTAACATCTATTTACTTCAGGTGGCTATTAGCTGTCTTGATGCGAATTTTTAGAGATTCTTTACTTTCAAGTTACCATCAAAAGGTGGTTGGGTCTCTAATATTCATTTGCCAGGTTAGTGTAAGATTATGGATGTTTGTTTGTAACTATGGTCATGGTCATAGTTTTTTCGGTAGAACTGTGTTGATCCGTCGTCTTTCTTTTACTTTTGTGCTTAATTCGGATTTTATGCATGCTTACCCTGTAAAATGAATGCTAAATCCTTTTTTTTTTT